TGGCAGCCAAGCCGTTGGGTTAGATTGCAAATTGGAGATGCAGATACGATAGTATGGGAGAAGCCAGATAAATAAGACAAATCCGTAGTATAGTTATATAAAAATGTGAAGGATTGTAAGAAACAATACAAAGCAAATAAATTAAGTGTCTATTTATGCCGACTATGAAATGACTATCCGATTAATTCGCAAACATATCCCCACCTGTAGACCAAAACATCTGAGATGAGAGCAACATATCAGATAAATCACTAGGGTCTAATGCTGTGGAGCTAAAAGAACATTTTTTTCCAGGTCCGTACAGGTTACGAAAGATAAGATGCCAATCATAAGGATCTGATAAAGCCACACAATCAGGAAGAATCATCAATAGTTGGCAAAACTTGCTAGAGCCAAATGAGGTAGCTAGGCTATTTGCGAAAATTTCAAACATAGTATTACTGTTGTTACAGATGCCTGGAAATAGTATAACAGAATTCCCTAGGGCCAGACAAGCTATTAGATGTAAGATGAACGTCTCATTATAATCGGGGGCTTCGATCAATAGTGGTCCGATAGGCCGATACGGTAAATTAGCTGATTGCAAAGGAGGAATGAGAGGATTTTGTTGGACATCGTCTGAGAAAGCTAAATCATCAGAATCAGTTCTGATATGCTCCAAAAATTTAACGACCCGCTCAACTTCTGGCCAAAATTCTCTATGCTCGTTGACGGAAGTGGTGAGAAAGGAGCGTAAAAAAGAAAAGCGAGTGTGCCTAAAGGATAAAGTATGAAGTAAGGGTATTACCTGTCTGTTTTGCTCCATTCGATCTGTGACCTCCGTGAAACAGTCAGGCTTTCATTGAGAATTTTTATCACCCCAGGGATGTCCACAAGCCGATAATCAGGAAGATGAGGTACAAAATTGGCATGTGGATAACGACGAAGGTAAACAGACGCAATAACACTGACCAGGCTTGCATTAACACAAACACATTTCACATTCGAATCTTCAGAGGGCATCAAGGCTTTTCCAATCTGCCAGGCAAGACTGGCATCGCTAAGCCACACATTCAAAACGCACGAGAGGCCTCCCCATCCAACGCTGGCGAACCGCCTTGAAGCGATATTTTTAATTAGTATCAGGGCTTCCTTGGCAGTTCTGAAGGTTAGTAAGTTACTCATAAAACCGGCAATTTGATTG